GGTCCTTGTTGTGGTACACCTGGTCCGTTATTGTGGTACACCTGGTGCTTGTTGTGGTACACCTGGTGCTTGTTGTGGTACACCTGGTCCTTGTTGTGGTACACCTGGTCCTTGTTGTGGTACACCTGGTCCTTGTTGTGGTACACCTGGTCCTTGTTGTGGTACACCTGGTCCTTGTTGTGGTACACCTGGTCCTTGTTGTGGTACACCTGGTCCTTGTTGTGGTACACCTGGTCCAATTCAGACCACTTGGAGGGGTGGTCTGAATTGAATGAATCAGACCATCTTTCACGTAATGCCTTTCCTTTAGTGCACGGACCTGTCGGAGGAGCTACTCCTTGATGCCCTGGCCAGGCGGCGGGCTACTCCTTGATGCCCTGGCCAGGCGGCGGGCTACTCCTTGATGCCCTGGCCAGGCGGCGGGCTTCTCCTTGATGCCCTGGCCAGGCGGCGGGCTACTCCTTGATGCCCTGGCCAGGCGGCGGGCTACTCCTTGATGCCCTGGCCAGGCGGCGGGCTACTCCTTGATGCCATGGCCAGGCGGCGGGCTACTCCTTGATGCCCTGGCCAGGCGGCGGGCTACTCCTTGATGCCCTGGCCAGGCGGCGGGCTACTCCTTGATGCCCTGGCCAGGCGGCGGGCTACTCCTTGATGCCCTGGCCAGGCGGCGGGCTACTCCTTGATGCCCAGGCCAGGCGGCGGGCTACTCCTTGATGCCCGGGCAAGGCGGCGGGCTACTCCTTGATGCCCTGGCCAGGCGGCGGGCTACTCCTTGATGCCCTGGCCAGGCGGCGGGCTACTCCTTGATGCCCTGGCCAGGCGGCGGGCTACTCCTTGATGCCCTGGCCAGGCGGCGGGCTACTCCTTGATGCCCGGGCCAGGCGGCGGGCTACTCCTTGATGCCCTGGCCAGGCGGCGGGCTACTCCTTGATGCCCTGGCCAGGCGGCGGGCTACTCCTTGATGCCCGGGCCAGGCGGCGGGCTACTCCTTGATGCCCTGGCCAGGCGGCGGGCTACTCCTTGATGCCCTGGCCAGGCGGCGGGCTACTCCTTGATGCCCTGGCCAGGCGGCGGGCTACTCCTTGATGCCCTGGCCAGGCGGCGGGCTACTCCTTGATGCCCTGGCCAGGCGGCGGGCTACTCCTTGATGCCCTGGCCAGGCGGCGGGCTACTCCTTGATGTCCTGGCCAGGCGGCGGGCTACTCCTTGATGCCCTGGCCAGGCGGCGGGCTACTCCTTGATGCCCGGGCAAGGCAGCGGGCTACTCCTTGATGCCCTGGCCAGGCGGCGGGCTACTCCTTGATGCCCTGGTCAGGCGGCGGGCTACTCCTTGATGCCCTGGCCAGGCGGCGGGCTACTCCTTGATGCCCGGGCAAGGCGGCGGGCTACTCCTTGATGCCCTGGCCAGGCGGCGGGCTACTCCTTGATGCCCGGGCCAGGCGGCGGGCTACTCCTTGATGCCCGGGCCAGGCGGCGGGCTACTCCTTGATGCCCGGGCCAGGCGGCGGGCTACTCCTTGATGCCCGGGCCAGGCGGCGGGCTACTCCTTGATGCCCGGGCCAGGCGGCGGGCTACTCCTTGATGCCCGGGCCAGGCGGCGGGCTACTCCTTGATGCCCTGGCCAGGCGGCGGGCTACTCCTTGATGCCCGGGCCAGGCGGCGGGCTACTCCTTGATGCCCGGGCCAGGCGGCGGGCTACTCCTTGATGCCCGGGCAAGGCTCGTACTTGACTTCACCACCATCTATCATCCGGATCCTGGCCGGTTCTTCCGGCCAGGAGAATCAGCACCAAGCTACGAGGTAGTGTAGCTAAGCGGGTCTGTAGCGAAGGCGGAGGTGGATGCATCCCACATCCACAACGGCTTCTTATGTGCAAAGCTGATTAGTAAAAACCTTGTTCCGCGGCAGTAGAGCCCCCACGAGGCGTCACGACGACACCATCTCAACATTCCTCTCACACACCTCACATCCGCCAGGGGGGGGGGGAGGACACCCCCCTCCCCCCCACTATGAATAAATTTTCAATCTAACTGATAATCATATGCAAATCTCCGGCGAGGAAAAACAATATATTGCCCTATTACAAAACAAAAGCTGCCAAGGCGATGCCCCACACGCCCAGCTGGCCGCAAAGAGCTACGACGACGACGACCTCTCAGCCTCCCACGACCCCCTCGTATAAACACGGAGAACGACCCGTATAGACCAAAAGGTGGCACGAAAGGTCTCGTCATTACAGGAAGGGGGACCATTACTGCCCGTCGTCCCTGCAATATGGCCCTCTGGCATGGCCCGTTCCCCCTGACAGCTTCTATTGTTGTGGTTTTATCTGCGATCGTCAGCTATCTCGGTTATAGACGCCCGTAATGACATGATTGGTGGGTGTAAAGCTGCTTCCTGGGGGACGCCGGCCGCTGGGGCCCTCGCGGTGGGCCGAGCTGCTCGCGGTGGGCCGAGCTGCTCGCGGCCCAGGCCACAGGGGCCCAGGCGGGGCCAGACTTGAATGAAGCTGAGGTAGTGAACCACCTGGCCACGAGTAGTCGTGAACTACCTGACTACGAGCAGTGGTGAACTACCAGACTACGAGCAGTGGTGAACTACCAGACTACGAGCAGTGGTGAACTACCAGACTACGAGCAGTGGTGAACTACCAGACTACGAGCAGTGGTGAACTACCAGACTACGAGCAGTGGTGAACTACCTGACTACGAGCAGTGGTGAACTACCTGACTACGAGCAGTGGTGAACTACCAGACTACGAGCAGTGGTGAACTACCAGACTACGAGCATTGGCGAACTACCTGACTACGAGCAATGGTGAACTACCTGACTACGAGCAATGGTGAACTACCAGACTACGAGCAGTGGTGAACTACCAGACTACGAGCATTGGCGAACTACCTGACTACGAGCAATGGTGAACTACCTGACTACGAGCAATGGTGAACTACCAGACTACGAGCAGTGGTGAACTACCAGACTACGAGCATTGGTGAACTACCTGACTACGAGCAATGGTGAACTACCAGACTACGAGCAGTGGTGAACTACCAGACTACGAGCATTGGCGAACTACCTGACTACGAGCAATGGTGAACTACCAGACTACGAGCAGTGGTGAACTACCAGACTACGAGCATTGGTGAACTACCTGACTACGAGCAGTGGTGAACTACCTGACTACGAGCAGTGGTGAACTACCTGACTACGAGCAGTGGTGAACCAGTTGGATCCTTATCAAGACACAACGAAAACGATAACGAAGCCATTATAAAGCCAGAGAGTAGTTGAGGCTGTAAGAGAAGAGGTGAGGCTATAGGAGAAGAGGTGAGGCAATAGGAGAAGAGGTGAGGCTATAGGAGAAGAGGTGAGGCTATAGGAGAAGAGGTGAGGCTATAGGAGAAGAGGTGAGGCTATAGGAGAAGAGGTGAGGCTATAGGAGAAGAGGTGAGGCTATAGGAGAAGAGGTGAGGCTATAGGAGAAGAGATGAGGCTATAGAAGAGGTGAGGCTATAGGAGGAGAGGTGAGGCTATAGAAGATGTGAGGCTATATGAGAAGAGGTGAGGCTATAGGAGGAGAGGTGAGGCTATAGGAGAAGAGGTGAGGCTATAGGAGAAGAGGTGAGGCAATAGGAGAAGAGGTGAGGCTATAGGAGAATAGGTGAGGCTATAGGAGAATAGGTGAGGCTATAGGAGAATAGGTGAGGCTATAGGAGAAGAGGTGAGGCTATAGGAGAAGAGGTGAGCCTATAGGAGAAGAGGTGAGGCTATAGGAGAATAGGTGAGGCTATAGGAGAAGAGGTGAGGCTATATGAGAAGAGGTGAGGCTATAGGAGGAGAGGTGAGGCTATAGGAGAAGATGCGAGGCTATAGGAGAAGAGGTGAAGCTATAGGAGAAGAGGTGAGGCTATAGGAGAAGAGATGAGGCTATAGAAGAGGTGAGGCTATAGGAGGAGAGGTGAGGCTATAGGAGAAGAGGTGAGGCTATAGGAGAAGAGGTGAGGCTATAGGAGAATAGGTGAGGCTATAGGAGGAGAGGTGAGGCTATAGGAGAAGATGTGAGGCTATAGGAGAAGAGGTGAGGCTATAGGAGAAGAGGTGAGGCTATAGGAGAAGAGATGAGGCTATAGAAGAGGTGAGGCTATAGGAGGAGAGGTGAGGCTATAGGAGAAGAGGTGAGGCTATAGGAGAAGAGATGAGGCTATAGAAGAGGTGAGGCTATAGGAGAAGAGATGAGGCTATAGAAGAGGTGAGGCTATAGGAGGAGAGGTGAGGCTATAGGAGAAGAGGTGAGGCTATAGGAGAAGAGGTGAGGCTATAGGAGAAGAGGTGAGGCTATAGGAGAAGAGATGAGGCTATAGGAGAAGTGAGGCTATAGGAGAATAGGTGAGGCTATAGGAGAAGAGGTGAGGCTATAGGAGAAGAGGTGAGGCTATAGGAGAAGAGGTGAGGCTATAGGAGAATAGGTGAGGCTATAGGAGAAGAGGTGAGGCTATAGGAGAAGAGGTGAGGCTATAGGAGAAGAGGTGAGGCTGTAGTATATAAACAGATAAGTGTCTAATATTGATTAATATATTCGCTTTCAGTTATTAGGCTCAATAAACTATTAATCTAATTTGCATAATTTATTCATCATTGACTATCACATTCCTTTGCAGTATAGATATTGCTAAATATATTGCAGTAGTGCATTTATTATATTAAATGAAAGTTGCATCTATGAGGCAACTTCGATTTCAGAGTATTTGGTTAGTTAATACGATCATAAAAATCAGCCTTCACTCTTTTGTCTATAATCAGCCGTCACTCGCGTCTACGATCAGCCATCAGCCGCTGTGTTGTGTGGCGGTGAAGGTTCAGCGCAGCACAGTAACTGCGGCGTTCTCTCTAGTATTCATATGCTCCAAGGTGACCCACTCATCAACAACGATGCCTGTAATCGATGGTTTTCGCTGCTTCAGCAACTCGCTTATCCTTCCCGCCTACCCACCAACGCTAGCCTACCCGCCCTCCACGCCCTCCCACTCGCCCACCTGAGCCAACCCACCCACCACGCCCTCCCACTCGCCCACCTGAGCCAACCCGCCCACCACGCCCTCCCACTCGCCCACCTGAGCCAACCCGCCCACCACGCCCTCCCACTCACCCACCTGAGCCAACCCGCCCACCACGCCCTCCCACTCACCCACCTGAGCCAACCCGCCCACCACGCCCTCCCACCCGCCCACCACGCCCTCCCGCTCACCCACCTGAGCCAACCCGCCCACCACGCCCTCCCACTCGCCCACCTGAGCCAACCCGCCCACCACGCCCTCCCACTCGCCCACCTGAGCCAACCCGCCCACCACGCCCTCCCACCCGCCCACCACGCCCTCCCGCTCACCCACCTGAGCCAACCCGCCCACCACGCCCTCCCACTCGCCCACCTGAGCCAACCCGCCCACCTACCCATCCACCAGCCCGCTCTTCCACCCACCTACCCGCCCTCCTTCATCACGGCTCTGCCTGTCACCCGGTTAAAGACGTGCGATTTATAGTGGTGTGAGTCTGGCATTGTGATTCCCTCCTCTTATTTGGGGGTCAAGTGGAGCCGCCCGTGGGTGGGAGCCTCGTGGGGCACTGTAGAGCTCCGCTGCAATCATTAAAATGACACGCTTCTCCTCGCTGGTGCCCAGAACCTGCCCCTTACAAGTTTCTCATCAATTATCTTGAAGTCGCACTCGAAGGCTGCTCCAGTTCAACGGGCAGAATGAGGAGGAATTTACTAGTCACGAAAATAAAAACATATCTATATGTGCAGAAAAGTTAAGTGCACACTCTGTGGTATAGGTACTTAACCCCCATAAATACAAACTGGTTATAAAGCTCTGAAGAACATAGGCTCATTGTAAAGCTGGCGTGGAAGTGAATTAAAATATCCTGTAATGCAACAGCACGATCATGGGTCTGGTCAAGAATACACGCTCACCACCATGCCTAGCAAATATAACCCAACCACAGTAGAACCTCTGGTTCCCAACTCCCCATGAGAAATAAATGTATATTGAGTGTTCAAACTGTAAAATCAAATTTTAGATGTGAATGGTTTTTAGGTTTAGATGTAGAGAACCTAATGTTCTCTAGGTGTTCTGTGTGTGTGTACTCACCTATTTGTGCTTGCGGGGGTTGAGCTTTGGCTCGTTAGTCCCGCCTCTCAACTGTCAATCAACTGGTGTACAGATTCCTGAGCCTTCTGGGCTCTATCATATCTACCTTTAAAACTGTGTATGGAGTCAGCCTCCACCACATCACTGCCTAATGCATTCCACCTGTTAACTACTCTGACACTGGAAAAGTTCTTTCTAACGTCCCTGTGGCTCATTTGGGTGCTCAGTTTCCATCTGTGTCCCCTTGTTCTCGTACCACCACCACCAGTGTTGAATAGTTTATCCTTGTCTACTCCTGTCAATTCTCCTCAGGATTTTGTAGGTAGTAATCATGTCTCCCCTTATTCTTCTATCTTCCAGTGTCGTAAGATGCATTTCCCGCAGGCTTTCTTCGTAACTCATGCCTCTTAGTTCTGGGACTAGTCTAGTGGCATACCTCTGAACTTTTTCCAGCTTCGTCTTGTGCTTGACAAGGTACGGGCTCCATGCTGGGGCCGCATGTGTGTGTGTGTGTCTTACGACTGCGTATGTATACTTGCGCGTGTGTGTAAATCTATTTTAAACACACCTGTCATCCCTATATTAACAAAGCCTTGAGGGAAATCTGAAATTACAGGAGAGAATCACCACATAACTAGCTACAGAAGGTAGTTACAAGTGTTGACCAGCGGTCACAACATACAGGCGCCCCACACACACCTGGCTTGAAGGGAAGGCAAGATATGGAGGCGTGGGATGGGGGGAAGGGATGGCAGAGATGGGAGAGGGAGAACGGGAGATGGGAGGGAAGGTGAAGGGGGGGGGGTGTGTAAGGTGGATGGGAGAGGTAGGGGTAGGGGGGGACTCGCTCACCTGTAATAACAGTCTTCACCAACATTTCATCACCCTATACTCCTTTGTGAAGCCCAGTAGTGTAAGGACAGTGTCCCGTGGCCTACCTGCCTGCCTACCTTTCTATACCTGCCTACCTACCTGTCTTTCTACCTACCTACCTACCTGCCTACCTACCTGCCTACTTGCGCCTACTTGCCACCCTAACTATCTGCTTCATTAACCTGCCTGCCCTGCTATCTGCCTGAGTGCCTTACTCCTTCACGTCTCTCCTTCAATGTCCACTCTTCCTCTCCTCTATGTCTCTGTATTTCAGTCATCACCACCGGGGGACAGCGTGCACTACCGGGGGACAGCGTGCACTACCGGGGGACAGCGTGCACCACCGGGGGACAGCGTGCACCACCGGGGGGACAACGTGCACCACCGGGGGGACAACGTGCACCACCGGGGGACAGCGTGCACCACCGGGGGGACAGCGTGCACCACCGGGGGACAGCGTGCACCACCGGGGGACAGCGTGCACTACCGGGGGGACAGCGTGCACCACCGGGGGACAGCGTGCACCACCGGGGGGACAGCGTGCACCACCGGGGGGACAGCGTGCACCACCGGGGGGACAGCGTGCACCACCGGGGGACAGCGTGCACCACCGGGGGTCAGCGTGCACCACCGGGGGGACAGCGTGCACCACCGGGGGGACAACGTGCACCACCGGGGGACAACGTGCACCACCGGGGGACAGCGTGCACCACCGGGGGACAACGTGCACCACCGGGGGACAGCGTGCACCACCGGGGGACAGCGTGCACCACCGGGGGGACAACGTGCACCACCGGGGGACAACGTGCACCACCGGGGGACAGCGTGCACCACCGGGGGGACAGCGTGCACCACCGGGGGGACAACGTGCACCACCGGGGGAACACGTGCACCACCAGGGGACAGCGTGCACCACCGGGGGACAGCGTGCACCACCGGGGGGACAGCGTGCACCACCGGGGGACAGCGTGCACCACCGGGGGGACAGCGTGCACCACCGGGAGACAGCGTGCACCACCGGGGGACAACGTGCACCACCGGGGGACAGCGTGCACCACCGGGGGGACAACGTGCACCACCGGGGGACAACGTGCACCACCGGGGGACAGCGTGCACCACCGGGGGGACAGCGTGCACCACCGGGGGGACAACGTGCACCACCGGGGGACAACGTGCACCACCGGGGGACAACGTGCACCACCGGGGGACAGCGTGCACCACCGGGGGGACAGCGTGCACCACCGGGGGGACAACGTGCACCACCGGGGGACAACGTGCACCACCGGGGGACAGCGTGCACCACCGGGGGACAGCGTGCACCACCGGGGGGACAGCGTGCACCACCGGGGGACAACGTGCACCACCGGGGGACAGCGTGCACCACCGGGGGACAGCGTGCACCACCGGGGGGACAGCGTGCACCACCGGGGGACAGCGTGCACCACCGGGGGGACAGCGTGCACCACCGGGGGGACAGCGTGCACCACCGGGGGACAGCGTGCACCACCGGGGGGACAGCGTGCACCACCGGGGGACAGCGTGCACCACCGGGAGACAGCGTGCACCACCGGGGGACAACGTGCACCACCGGGGGACAGCGTGCACCACCGGGGGGACAACGTGCACCACCGGGGGACAACGTGCACCACCGGGGGACAGCGTGCACCACCGGGGGACAGCGTGCACCACCGGGGGGACAGCGTGCACCACCGGGGGAACACGTGCACCACCGGGGGACAGCGTGCACCACCGGGGGACAGCGTGCACCACCGGGGGGACAGCGTGCACCACCGGGGGACAGCGTGCACCACCGGGGGGACAGCGTGCACCACCGGGGGACAACGTGCACCACCGGGGGACAACGTGCACCACCGGGGGACAACGTGCACCACCGGGGGACAACGTGCACCACCGGGGGACAACGTGCACCACCGGGGGACAACGTGCACCACCGGGGGACAACGTGCACCACCGGGGGACAACGTGCACCACCGGGGGACAGCGTGCACCACCGGGGGACAGCGTGCACCACCGGGGGGACAGCGTGCACCACCGGGGGGACAGCGTGCACCACCGGGGGACAACGTGCACCACCGGGGGACAACGTGCACCACCGGGGGACAACGTGCACCACCGGGGGACAACGTGCACCACCGGGGGACAACGTGCACCACCGGGGGGACAGCGTGCACCACCGGGGGGACAACGTGCACCACCGGGGGACAACGTGCACCACCGGGGGACAACGTGCACCACCGGGGGACAGCGTGCACCACCGGGGGGACAGCGTGCACCACCGGGGGGACAACGTGCACCACCGGGGGACAACGTGCACCACCGGGGGACAGCGTGCACCACCGGGGGACAGCGTGCACCACCGGGGGGACAGCGTGCACCACCGGGGGACAACGTGCACCACCGGGGGACAGCGTGCACCACCGGGGACAGCGTGCACCACCGGGGGGACAGCGTGCACCACCGGGGGACAGCGTGCACCACCGGGGGGACAGCGTGCACCACCGGGGGGACAGCGTGCACCACCGGGGGACAGCGTGCACCACCGGGGGGACAGCGTGCACCACCGGGGGGACAGCGTGCACCACCGGGAGACAGCGTGCACCACCGGGGGACAACGTGCACCACCGGGGGACAGCGTGCACCACCGGGGGGACAACGTGCACCACCGGGGGACAACGTGCACCACCGGGGGACAGCGTGCACCACCGGGGGGACAGCGTGCACCACCGGGGGGACAGCGTGCACCACCGGAGGAACACGTGCACCACCGGGGGACAGCGTGCACCACCGGGGGACAGCGTGCACCACCGGGGGGACAGCGTGCACCACCGGGGGACAGCGTGCACCACCGGGGGGACAGCGTGCACCACCGGGGGACAACGTGCACCACCGGGGGACAACGTGCACCACCGGGGGACAACGTGCACCACCGGGGGACAACGTGCACCACCGGGGGACAACGTGCACCACCGGGGGACAACGTGCACCACCGGGGGACAGCGTGCACCACCGGGGGACAGCGTGCACCACCGGGGGGACAGCGTGCACCACCGGGGGGACAGCGTGCACCACCGGGGGACAGCGTGCACCACCGGGGGACAACGTGCACCACCGGGGGACAACGTGCACCACCGGGGGACAACGTGCACCACCGGGGGACAACGTGCACCACCGGGGGACAGCGTGCACCACCGGGGGGACAGCGTGCACCACCGGGGGACAGCGTGCACCACCGGGGGACAGCGTGCACCACCGGGGGACAGCGTGCACCACCGGGGGGACAGCGTGCACCACCGGGGGACAGCGTGCACCACCGGGGGGACAGCGTGCACCACCGGGGGGACAGCGTGCACCACCGGGGGGACAACGTGCACCACCGGGGGACAACGTGCACCACCGGGGGACAACGTGCACCACCGGGGGACAACGTGCACCACCGGGGGGACAACGTGCACCACCGGGGGACAACGTGCACCACCGGGGGACAGCGTGCACCACCGGGGGGACAGCGTGCACCACCGGGGGACAACGTGCACCACCGGGGGACAACGTGCACCACCGGGGGACAACGTGCACCACCGGGGGGACAACGTGCACCACCGGGGGGACAATGTGCACCACCGGGGGACAACGTGCACCACCGGGGGACAACGTGCACCACCGGGGGACAACGTGCACCACCGGGGGGACAACGTGCACCACCGGGGGACAACGTGCACCACCGGGGGGACAGCGTGCACCACCGGGGGACAGCGTGCACCACCGGGGGGACAACGTGCACCACCGGGGGACAACGTGCACCACCGGGGGGACAACGTGCACCACCGGGGGGACAATGTGCACCACCGGGGGACAACGTGCACCACCGGGGGACAACGTGCACCACCGGGGGACAACGTGCACCACCGGGGGGACAACGTGCACCACCGGGGGACAACGTGCACCACCGGGGGGACAGCGTGCACCACCGGGGGACAGCGTGCACCACCGGGGGGACAACGTGCACCACCGGGGGGACAGCGTGCACCACCGGGGGACAGCGTGCACCACCGGGGGACAGCGTGCACCACCGGGGGACAGCGTGCACCACCGGGGGACAGCGTGCACCACCGGGGGACAGCGTGCACCACCGGGGGGACAGCGTGCACCACCGGGGGACAACGTGCACCACCGGGGGACAACGTGCACCACCGGGGGACAACGTGCACCACCGGGGGACAGCGTGCACCACCGGGGGGACAGCGTGCACCACCGGGGGACAGCGTGCACCACCGGGGGGACAGCGTGCACCACCGGGGGACAGCGTGCACCACCGGGGGACAGCGTGCACCACCGGGGGACAGCGTGCACCACCGGGGGGACAACGTGCACCACCGGGGGGACAGCGTGCACCACCGGGGGACAGCGTGCACCACCGGGGGACAGCGTGCACCACCGGGGGACAGCGTGCACCACCGGGGGACAGCGTGCACCACCGGGGGACAGCGTGCACCACCGGGGGACAGCGTGCACCACCGGGGGACAGCGTGCACCACCGGGAGACAGCGTGCACCACCGGGGGACAACGTGCACCACCGGGGGACAGCGTGCACCACCGGGAGATAGCGTGCACCACCGGGGGACAGCGTGCACCACCGGGGGACAGCGTGCACCACCGGGGGACAGCGTGCACCACCGGGGGACAACGTGCACCACCGGGAGACAGCGTGCACCACCGGGGGACAACGTGCACCACCGGGGGACAACGTGCACCACCGGGGGACAACGTGCACCACCGGGGGACAACGTGCACCACCGGGAGACAACGTGCACCACCGGGGGACAGCGTGCACCACCGGGGGACAGCGTGCACCACCGGGGGACAGCGTGCACCACCGGGGAGCAGCGTGCACCACCGGGGGACAACGTGCACCACCGGGAGACAACGTGCACCACCGGGGGACAGCGTGCACCACCGGGGGACAACGTGCACCACCGGGGGACAGCGTGCACCACCGGGGGACAGCGTGCACCACCGGGGGACAGCGTGCACCACCGGGGGACAGCGTGCACCACCGGGGAGCAGCGTGCACCACCGGGGGACAACGTGCACCACCGGGAGACAACGTGCACCACCGGGGGACAGCGTGCACCACCGGGGGACAGCGTGCACCACCGGGGGACAGCGTGCACCACCGGGGGACAGCGTGCACCACCGGGGAGCAGCGTGCACCACCGGGGGACAGCGTGCACCACCGGGGGACAGCGTGCACCACCGGGGGACAGCGTGCACCACCGGGAGACAGCGTGCACCACCGGGGGACAACGTGCACCACCGGGGGACAGCGTGCACCACCGGGGGACAACGTGCACCACCGGGGGACAGCGTGCACCACCGGGGGACAGCGTGCACCACCGGGGGACAGCGTGCACCACCGGGGGACAACGTGCACCACCGGGGGACAACGTGCACCACCGGGGGACAGCGTGCACCACCGGGGGACAGCGTGCACCACCGGGGGACAGCGTGCACCACCGGGGGACAGCGTGCACCACCGGGGGACAGCGTGCACCACCGGGGGACAACGTGCACCACCGGGGGACAGCGTGCACCACCGGGGGACAGCGTGCACCACCGGGGGACAACATGCACCACCGGGGGACAGCGTGCACCACCGGGGGACAGCGTGCACCACCGGGGGACAGCGTGCACCACCGGGGGACAGCGTGCACCACCGGGGGACAACATGCACCACCGGGGGACAACGTGCACCACCGGGGGGACAGCGTGCACCACCGGGGGACAGCGTGCACCACCGGGGGACAGCGTGCACCACCGGGGGACAGCGTGCACCACCGGGGGACAGCGTGCACCACCGGGGGACAGCGTGCACCACCGGGGGACAGCGTGCACCACCGGGGGACAGCGTGCACCACCGGGGGACAGCGTGCACCACCGGGGGACAACATGCACCACCGGGGGACAGCGTGCACCACCGGGGGACAGCGTGCACCACCGGGGGACAACATGCACCACCGGGGGACAGCGTGCACCACCGGGGGACAGCGTGCACCACCGGGGGACAGCGTGCACCACCGGGGGACAGCGTGCACCACCGGGGGACAGCGTGCACCACCGGGGGACAGCGTGCACCACCAACTCGTGGCGTGCCGTGGAGACTATTGGCAACAATGCCTCGGTCGGGGACTGGTTCCTCAGCACTAATTGTCATGGACGCTGTCAGGAGGAACAATGCTTCCGAGTGGCCTCTCGGGGCCTCCTCCAGCGAGCCACCAGCTGAGGGCGGCGCCTAGCCACCAGCTGAGGGCGGCGCCTAGCCACCAGCTGAGGGCGGCGCCTAGCCACCAGCTGAGGGCGGCGCCTTGCCACCAGCTGAGGGCGGCGCCTAGCCACCAGCTGAGGGCGGCGCCTAGCCACCAGCTGAGGGCGGCGCCTTGCCACCAGCTGAGGGCGGCGCCTAGCCACCAGCTGAGGGCGGCGCCTAGCCACCAGCTGAGGGCGGCGCCTAGCCACCAGCTGAGGGCGGCGCCTAGCCACCAGCTGAGGGCGGCGCCTAGCCACCAGCTGAGGGCGGCGCCTAGCCACCAGCTGAGGGCGGCGCCTAGCCACCAGCTGAGGGCGGCGCCTAGCCACCAGCTGAGGGCGGCGCCTAGCCACCAGCTGAGGGCGGCGCCTAGCCACCAGCTGAGGGCGGCGCCTAGCCACCAGCTGAGGGCGGCGCCTAGCCACCAGCTGAGGGCGGCGCCTAGCCACCAGCTGAGGGCGGCGCCTAGCCACCAGCTGAGGGCGGCGCCTAGCCACCAGCTGAGGGCGGCGCCTAGCCACCAGCTGAGGGCGGCGCCTAGCCACCAGCTGAGGGCGGCGCCTAGCCACCAGCTGAGGGCGGCGCCTAGCCACCAGCTGAGGGCGGCGCCTAGCCACCAGCTGAGGGCGGCGCCTAGCCACCAGCTGAGGGCGGCGCCTAGCCACCAGCTGAGGGCGGCGCCTAGCCACCAGCTGAGGGCGGCGCCTAGCCACCAGCTGAGGGCGGCGCCTAGCCACCAGCTGAGGGCGGCGCCTAGCCACCAGCTGAGGGCGGCGCCTAGCCACCAGCTGAGGGCGGCGCCTAGCCACCAGCTGAAGAGGTAAACGCCTTATCTCCACGAAGATAAATAGTTGCTCGTCGAGTTCAAAGATCAGTGATGGTATATAGTGAAGAGGGAACCACCTCCCTGAATCTTACGGGTTACTCATGCCCGTGCCACCTCTTGGCTGACTTGACCTTCAATCAATCAATCTCCCTGAATCAGACCTGTGTCCTCGCCTCACAACTCGGGATCCCGGGTTCAGTCTCCGGTAGGATAGAAACGGTTAGGTACGTTTCCTTTCATCTGATGCTTCTATTCACTTAATTAGCAGTAAAATAGCTATGCAGGAGTTAAGCAGCTGTTGTGGGTTGCATCGTGGGGTCAGTTGCTGGCCTATATGAAACATGTACACAAACTTACCCCTTGAAGCATACGCGAGTAACGTCACCAGCAGACTTCCGGGAGACATCTCCCGTCACGCAGGGTGCAGTCGCACCTCCACAGACCTCCAGTATCATCTATTGATACTGGTGATGGCTCAAAAGGGCCACCACTTACGGGCTATTCATGCCCGTGCCACCTTTTGGGTGGCTTAATCTTCATCAGTCAATCAATCACCAGCAGACTAGAGACTCGCGAACATTAGAACAGGATCCACCACAACAAGGAAGCATTCAGAGCACTGCTCGCCACCTATGTGAGACCAGTTCTAGAGACTGCAGCCCGGACGCTGAGTCCCTCATCTAAAAATAAGCAAGTAAGAAAAATGTGAAAGGGTACTGAGTGTTGTGATGAGACTCGTCCCATAAATACTTGGGATGAGACAGTCACGGAGGCAAGGGGGGGGGGGGCTGATAGCTGAGTGGACAGTGTTTCGGATTCGTAGTCCTGAGGTTCCGGGTTCGATCCCCGGTGGAGGGGGAAACAAATGGGCATGGGAAACAAATGGGCAAATTTAACCCCCTTGATGTCCTGTTCACCTAACAGTAAATAGGTACCTGGGAGTTAGACAGCTGCTACGGGCTCCTTCCTGGGAGGTGTAACAAAAAGGAGGTCTGGTCGAGGACCGGGCCGCGGGGACGCTAAGCCCCGAAACCATCTCAAGATAACCTCAAGATAGAGACGAGAGGTATGAGCTGGGAAGAAAGCAGGAGGAACTAGCTTTCATGGCCGTCATAAGGGAAAACAGTGACCTGATCCCGACCTACAAAATACTCCCGAGACGAGTGGATATTATAAGAAGACAAACGCCCAAGAGATGCAGAGGCTGGTTGAGAAGAACGCCTTCCTTGCTAAGGCAGCTAGGCGCGAGTGTGTGAAACACGCTAAATAAAGACACAGTCGAGGTGAACGCCATACCGGAAATCATGAGGTGGGTCCAGGAGATGAAGCTCGATACCTTGAAACGCAACTAGGTGAGTAAACACACACACACACACACACACACACACACACACACACACACACACACACACACACACACACACACACACACACACACACACACACACACACACACACACACGCACGCGCACACACACAGATTTTATCACCACAACTGCAGGGCGGTGGGTGGATGGGTATCACCACACCCCGCAGGACAGTGAGTGGGGCATGCCACATCTACAGTATCCACCAGTACCACTACACACCATAAAGAAAACTAACATGAGGAAAGTGCAAGCAGTGCAAAATAAGGCGCTAAGGAGAGCAGCAAAACACCGTCCACCATATGATCAGACAATCCAGGAGCTCCATGAGCTCCTGAACATACAGCCACTAAACATACAGCCACAGCACCAAGCCATCAGAGTGTGGAACACCATCCAAATGTTAGAGGACCCAATGTTAGAAAGCCTCGATTCACTAGATGAAAACCCCGACCCACAGTACATAATTCCCAGGTGAAATACTGACAAGAAATCCCCCAGTAATTGGAAAAAAATTAGTATATATATGTGTGTGTGTGTGTGTGTATATATATATATATATATATATATATATATATATATATATATATATATATATATATATATATATATATATGGTGTATACTGGCAGCAGGTTTTCTTTCAAACATGTTTCATTGAATATGACCGCATATTCTGTATTTATTATTTTCTGGTTTAGGGCTTCTATCCCTCTAACTATTTTCTTAGCATCCAATTAAGCCCTGATGCTAAGAAAATAGTTAGAGGGATAGAAGCCCTAAACCAGAAAATAATAAATACAGAATATGCGGTCATATTCAATGAAACATATATATATATATATATGTATATATATGTATATATATGTATATATATTTATATGTATATATATTTATATGTATATATATTTATATGTATATATATGTGTGTATATGTATGTATAAGTAAATCAATAAATAATAATAATAAAAATAGTCTTAAAACAGGACATGTGTGAAAGCATCGGAGTGTGTATATATGAATGCTACACAGTATTCATCTATGGACATCCATATATGGTGAAACACATGTGAAGAACCTCTCACACACTCACAGCTCCCTGACAAGAGGGAGCCAGCTTAGCTTAGCTGCCAACACCCACACATCGTGTCAGCAAGGCGGACAGCCCGCCTGCTTTCATACCTCTCACTGTATTTCCCACTTCCAAACTTCCCTTCACCTATGCCTCTCCATCCTCTTTACTCTCAAAAAAAAGAGAAAAAGGCAAGCCGGTCGGCGGCACAAAGGCTGGGAGGCACAATGGCTGCCCCAACCTGGTGTGACCTGGAACAATGTCCGCGCTCATTACCAGTCGCAGGTCGGGCTAGCGGCCTCCCCCGCTGCACCCTCCAGAGGGGCCCATTGTCTCCCCGGGCCCCACACACGCTCCTCGCCCTAAGACGCCACCTGCAGAGTTTATCAAATGACAATGCTTGCATTGTTTCCCAGAGATATCCTCGCATTTTTGGTGAGGATCATTGGAAGCGGGTCACACCCTCCTCCCCCCCCCCTCCCGTTGTGGTCCCCACACACACACACACACACACACACACACACACACACACACACACACACACACACAGCGTAAAAAGCTTTTGACAAAGTTCTGCTTAAGAAACAAAAACACTAACTCGAGCAGCAGGCGGAGAAACTGGAGAAGCACTGAAACGGCAAAGCGAGTACCTAAATGAGAGCAGTCAGAAAGTTAGCAGTTAATGTCGAGATGTCAGACTGGCGAGGATATTCCCTGAAGGATCACTACTCGACCCACTACTATTTTTCGTCTACGTTAAAGACCTAACCTCGGGGTAGACTCCGCTTGTTACCCTGCGCCAGTCTGATTTATCGCCATTAGCTGTGACTTTCTGAGTCGTCCATTAGGTACTCTATTTCCTATTGCAGTGATCTTTCATTTTTTCCGCCTGCTCCTACATGTTCTATACGTCGATATTTGCGGATGATACAAAATTAACGAGAAGATCAGAGAGATATGAGGATTGTAAAATACGCCGAGTAGAACAATACAAGCTGTACAGTTGGTCCAGGAAATGGCTACTGGATTTCAAAACGAGCAAATGTAAGGTGATGAAACATATAAACAGGCTAATTTCAACAGCGTTCACTAAAGTGGCGAACATCAAGAGAGTATTCAGGAACTACCTCGACAAGGAAGCATTCACTGTACTTCACGTACTGGAAACAGTTGTAAAGCATGCAAACCCAGCGAAGTTACAACCCCCTCCTGTGCCAGGTAAGTCTACTATGGGCTCGCCATAGCCCGTGCTACTTGGAACTTTTTGTTCCAAGTAGCGAATCTTAAACAACAACAACAGCATGCAAACCATAGTCAAAGTCTGTTCCTCAAAATGCTCATATGAAAACCTGAAATGGTGCTGAGATTTACAAAGAGGATCGTCCCAGAATTACAAGTTATGAAGTAGGAAGAAAGAGTGAATGAACTAGACCTAACGTCGTTAGAAAATTGATAAAGAGCAGACATGACATAAAATTCTTAGAGACATTAGCAGAATGAAAAATGAGGAAATGTTCACAGTGAATACCAATAGAGCAAGAAGTGATGGATGTAAGCTTGTCATAGATGAGTCACAGAGATCTTAGAAAGTATTCTTCGAGCGTAATAATAGCAGGGAAATGGCATTAACTAAACTAGCATGTTATCGAAGCCAACTTCATTCACAGCGTCAAAAACAGATATCACAAGAAGTATAATCAGAATTCTTTGCATTAGACAACCGACGACTGGAAGGAGTGGTATCCAAGAGGTGAAGTTCGACTCTGCAGGCACATATATAAACGAATACATACCAACGAGTACATACCAACTCAGTCAATAGTTGAGCTATACCTCACATATCCAGATGTTCTTCTGAACATGTCCGGGGTTTATAATGCACCGGTCTGTACAAACATCTTACCAAGATAACTCTTCTGCAAGGTGAAAGGGTCTATGCCTGAACCTTCCCATTTATCGTTGCTGCAATGAGATTTTCCATGCAAACGAGATCAAGGTAAAAACAAAGTGCTGAAAAGGAAGTATTATAACAGGAATAAACACATAGATGCCTGAGGCAGACGGACTCAACCCGCAGTGACCACAAGACCAACGATCAGACACAGATATTTGCAGGTTAATGAGTTCTTGTATTGTGTGAGGAGTGCGAGTGAGCAGACCATTGTGGTCGAGTTAGACACAGTCGCAACTGACTACCACAGTCCTTGGCCATGCACCACCAGGCCGAGCCAGGCCGAGCCAGGCCAAGTCGAGACAGGCCAGGCCAAGCCAGGCTAAGCCAGACCAAGCTAGGTAACGTCCAGGATCGAGTTACAGCGAAGCAAAGGCATCCACAAGACCATCTGCTATACTGCAAACCGTCTAAGTATCTATAGAAATAATAAAAAATAAAAAAACTGCTCTAGCAAATCATTTAGGAGTAAGAGTAAGCAAACACCACAGACGCCCCGGCCCGTCACTGAAGAAGAGGTTGTAGCCCCGTAATCCGCGTTCCTAATGCAGTTTTTCATTCGAGCTCATGGGTTTTTCTGCCCACTGCTTTAATAACTCGTTCTCCGGTAAATGTAGCTATCATGGTGTATGAATATATTTGTGTGCCCGTTTTTCAACTTGGTTTGTTGGAGAGGCGTTGAGGCTTGCTGTCAGACGCTGGGTTCTTGCTCAGTGACAAGACAGTCAGGCAGGAAGACCCCGCACACTTCAGAAGCAAGAAACAAGTACCTATAACGTCACGTCATACCCCGCAAGACACTTTTATCTTGTCTTCATCTTCTTATACATCCCCTTTACCTCACTTCCATCCACTCTCCTCCCCCCCCCCCCCCTTCAGCACCCACTACCCCTCACAGCCACCTGTTTCCTCCCTCCGCCTCGACCTCCCCTCTACCCCCCCCCCCCCCCCCCCCCCGCCTCCTCCCCCTCCACCTGCGCCACTCGCCCTCACCACGACGAGTCGCGGGACTATCAACTAACACAATAGTGTCCAAGGTGTTGATGAACTGAGGACAATGTCTCTAAATGACGTGTCGCACCCACCCAGCGTCTCTCCACCAGGCAACTCTCGTCTTTTTGCCTTATTTGGGAACATTTAAGGATGGACTGTTCGTGTGTGAGCTCCGTGTCAGGAGGGGACAGCAGTGTAGCGGCCTTGACGGTGTAGTTATGGGTGTTGTTCGTCTCAACAACAGCTAGAACAACAGGTCAGATTCCGCACATTCTGAAATATGAACTTGGACCACACACCTGGACTGGTCGCTTGGACCCTTGCTTCTTGCAGACTCGGTGCTCGATCCCCCGATGGCTCAAGTGGTTGGACAGCGTTCCTTCAGTCCGTTCTCATATCCTAGGTCGTAATGTGTGTACATATCTCGTACACGTGCATCCTGATACCTTCAAGCAGGCATACGTGCCCAGGAGACGACTCTACTTTTGCCTTAACAAAAATTCAGCCGTGCTTGAATAAAAAAAGCAGTCGTGCTTTTGCACGGCTGACGCGGTGCAAAAGCATCTTGTAAGACATCCCGGTCATCTGCTTTCATCTCTGTGATGGATGACAGACACTGACCATAAGGAGGTCCTCAGTGTAGTCGAGACACGAGACACTGACCATAAGGAGGTCCTCAGTGTAGTCGAGACACGAGACACTGACCATAAGGAGGTCCTCAGTGTAGTCGAGACACGAGACACTGACCATAAGGAGGTCCTCAGTGTAGTCGAGGCAGAAAAAAGAACACTTCACATTTTGCGTCTAAAGTGTTTTCTTTGAGAGGGGCTGGTGCTCGGGAGGAGGCAGGTGATACAAGGCCCAGGTGAGGGGTGGAAACAGGTTCCTCTCATTGTTCCTGGCGACTACCTGTGTGTCACACCTCCTCCTTCCCGACACCCGACGTCTCGGGTAATGGGAGAGGAACTCCCAGCAGGTATCGTGTCCAAAAACACAAACACATACATTTTTAAAGACACTTTTTTTGTTTTAAAGACTTGATTTTGTAAAAAAAAAAAAAAAAACATGAAAGATAGGACTCCACGAGTATGGTCTGATACCTATAATTACTAAGAGGTACACACACACACACATATAAACACACACACACACACACAAACACACGCATACACACACATACACACACACAGACAAACACACACACACACACACACATACACACACACAGACAAACACACACACAGAGCAAAGTAAGAGGGCGTGGAGAAACTATAGGAATAACAGGACACTGGAGAGCAGAGAAAGATACCAGAGTGCCAGGAATGAATATGTTAGGATGAGAAGAGAGGCAGAAAGACAATACGAAAATGACATCGCAAGCAAGGCAAAGACTCAGCCTAAATTGCTGCACAGCCACATCCGGAGAAAAACAACAGTAAAGGAACAGGTTATGAAATTAAGGATAGGGGTAGAAGGATTCACTACAAACGACAAGTGTGTGAGGAACTGAATAAGAAATTCCAGGAGGTCTTCACCTTAGAGCAAGGAGATATTCCAGACATAAGAAAGGGAATAGTTAAACCAGGAACCACTGGAAGAGTTTGAGATTACCAGCGGGGAAGTAAGGAAGAGTTTACTAGAGTTGGATGTGACAAAGGCTATACGCCCAGAGGGAATCTCCCCATGGATACTAAAGGAAGGAGCAGAAGAACTGTGCCTGCCACTCTCCATAGTGTATAACAAATCACTGCCAACAGGGGAACTGCCAGAAATTTGGAAAGCAGCTAACATAGTCCCGATATACAAGAAAGGGGATAGACAGGAGGCACTGAACTACAGGCCAGTGTCCCTAACCTGCATACCATGCAAGATGATGGAGAAGATTGTGCGAAGAAAACTAGTGGAACATCTGGAGCGAAGGAACTTTCTAACACAACATCAACATGGGTTCAGGGATGGCAGGTCCTGCCTCACAGGGTTACTTGAATTCTACGACCAGACAACAAAAATCAGGCAAGAAAGAGAAGGGTGGGCAGACTGCATATTTTTGGATTGTCAGAAAGCCTTTGATACAGTACCACACAAGAGGCTAGTGAAAAAGCTGGAGTGAAAGGGAAGGTACTCCATTGGATAAAGGAGTACCTAAGCAACAGGAGACAACGAGTCAGTGTGAGGGGTGAGGTCTCAGATTGGCGAGACGTTACAAGTGGAGTCCCGCAGGGGTCAGTCCTAGGACCTATACTGTTTCTGATATATGTAAATGATCTCCCAGAGGGTATAGACTCGTTTCTCTCAATGTTTGTTGATGATGCAAAAATTATGAGGAGGATTGAAACAGAGAATGATAGTAGGAGGCTACAAGATGACCTAGACAGACTGAATGAATGGTCCAACAAATGGCTGCTAAAGTTCAACTCGAGTAAATGCAAAGTAATGAAACTAGGCTTTGGAAACAGGAGGCCAGACATAGGATACAGAATAGGAGATGAAGTACTTAATGAAACGGACAGAGAGAAAGATCTAGGAGTTGATATCACACCAAACCTGTCTCCTGAAGCCCACATAAAAAGAATAACGTCTGCGGCATATGCGAGGCTGGCTAACATCAGAACAGCGTTCAGGAACCTGTGTAAGGAATCATTCAGAATCTTGTACACCACATATGTAAGACCAATCCTGGAGTATGCGGCCCCAGCATGGAGCCCGTACCTTGTCAAGCACAAGACGAAGCTGGAAAAAGTCCAAAGGTATGCCACTAGACTAGTCCTTGAACTAAGAGGCATGAGTTACGAGGAAAGACTGCGGGAAATGCACCTTACAACACTGGAAGACAGAAGAGTAAGCCACATGAGCCACAAGGACGTTAGAAAGAACTTTTTCAGTGTCAGAGTAGTTAAAAGATGGAATGCATTAGGCAGTGATGTGGTGGAGGCTGACTCCATACACAGTTTCAAATGTAGATATGATAGAGCCCAGTAGGCTCAGGAATCTGTACACCAGTTGATTGACAGTTGAGAGGCGGGACCAAATAGCCAAAGCTCAACCCCCGCAAGCACAAATAGGCGAGTACAAATAGATGAGTACACACACACACACACACACACACACACACACAGATCAGAGATATTAGAAAGAACTTTTTTAGTGTCAGAGTAATCCTAAGTAGTCCTAAGGGCCCGGGTTCAATTCCCAGCCGAGGCAGAAACAAATGGGCACTTTTTTTTCACCTGATGCCCCTGGTCACCTAGCAGCAAGTAGGTACATAGACAGCTTTTACGAACTGCATCCTGGAAATGTGTGCGTTAGAGAGAACTATTTATAGTAGATATGGTAGACGAATAATAGGTTGGGAGTAAGTACATTAGACAGCCGACGGTTAGAAAGGTGGGATCCAAGAGCTACAGCTCGAGCCTGCAGGCACAAATAGTAAACGCAAACACATACCAAAAAAAAAAAATCAGCATTCCCAAACAACAATCTAGGAGGAGAACACATAAGGTCTTCATCACATCAGGACAGGTATACAGCACCGTCTCTACTGCCACACATGTGCAAGTCTCAAGCTGTGGCGGGACATGAGGTGTGAGGCAGTAGCCGAGGCTCCCTCATCCCCCTGGGACATGAGGTGTGAGGCAGTAGTTGAGGCTCCCTCATCCCCCTGGGACATGAGGTGTGAGGCAGTAGCCGAGGCTCCCTCATCCCCCTGGGACATGAGGTGTGAGGCAGTAGTTGAGGCTCCCTCATCCCCCTGGGACATGAGGTGTGAGGCAGTAGCCGAGGCTCCCCCATTCCCCCGGGGACATGAGGTGTGAGACAGTAGCCGAGGCTCCCCCATTCCCCCGGGGACATGAGGTGTGAGGCAGTAGCTGAGGCTCCCTCATCCTCCTGGGACATGAGGTGTGAGGCAGTAGTTGAGGCTCCCTCATCCCCCGGGGACATGAGGTGTGAGGCAGTAGTTGAGGCTCCCTCATCCCCCGGGGACATGAGGTGTGAGGCAGTAGTTGAGGCTCCCTCATCCCCCGGGGACATGAGGTGTGAGGCAGTAGCCGAAGCTCCCTCATCCCCCGGGGACATGAGGTGTGAGGCAGTAGCCGAAGCTCCCTCATCCCCCTGGGACATGAGGTGTGAGGCAGTAGTTGAGGCTCCCTCATCCTCCTGGGACATAAGGTGTGAGGCAGTAGCCGAGGCTCCCTCATCCCCCTGGAACATGAGGTGTGAGGCAGTAGCCGAGGCTCCCCCATTCCCCCGGGGACATGAGGTGTGAGGCAGTAGCCGAGGCTCCCTCATCCCACTGGGACATGAGGTATGAGGCAGTAGCCGAGGCTCCCTCATCCCCCGGGGACATGAGGTGTGAGGCAGTAGCCGAGGCTCCCTCATCCCCCGGGGACATGAGGTGTGAGGCAGTAGCCGAAGCTCCCTCATCCCCCTGGGACATGAGGTGTGAGGCAGTAGTTGAGGCTCCCTCATCCCCCGGGGACATGAGGTGTGAGGCAGTAGCCGAGGCTCCCTCATCCCCCGGGGACATGAGGTGTGAGGCAGTAGCCGAAGCTCCCTCATCCCCCGGGGACATGAGGTGTGAGGCAGTAGCCGAAGCTCCCTCATCCCCCTGGGACATGAGGTGTGAGGCAGTAGTTGAGGCTCCCTCATCCCCCGGGGACATGAGGTATGAGGCAGTAGCCGAGGCTCTCTCGTCCCCCGGGGAATAATTACCCTCCGTGTTCCCGTGACCCACAACGACACTAACTTTGTGTGTTGGCGTTTTGTAAACTTATTTCTTTCCGATATTTGAGTGTCAAATCCGGCGACCCGTCTCTCTGACGCACAGGTGTCATGAAGACGCGTCTATCTGACGCACGGGTGTCAAGGGACGCATCCAGCTGACGCACAGGAAGGTGTACTTACCTATTTGTGCTCACAGGATCGAGCATTAGCTCTTGAACCCCGCCTTTCTAGCCGCCTCTCTCTCCTCTTTCCAGGCTCGTCGGGTTTAGCTCTTTCAGTCTCTCTTCGTACACCATCCCTCGAAATTTCAGGACGAACCGTGTCGCAAACTTTTGAGCCTTTTCGAGTTTGTTTACGTATTTTCTGATAGGACTTCACGATGGGGCGACGTACTCTACACCTGGTCTCTAGTAGGCGGTGAACAGCTATCTAAATACCATCCTTACTTAGCTTACTGAAGGATGTTTCTACTTTTGCTAGTGCATAGTATACTGCTGACGTTATCCTATATTTATTTATATATTTATTTATTATATATAAATATTCTATATATAAATATTATATATTTATATTGGGCCACGTGAGCAACACAAGTGGCTACCTTGAGGCTACCTTGAGGTGCTTCCGGGGCTTAGTGTCCCCGCGGCCCGGTCGTCGACCAGGCCTCCTGGTTGCTGGACTGATCAACCAGGCTGTTAGACGCGGCTGCTCGCAGCCTGACGTATGAGTCACAGCCTGGTTGATCAGGTTGATCAAGTGAGGTGATTCGATGAAATAACTATGCCCAAGTTAACCACCGAGAGCTGTCAGATGTTGGGTGCATAAGTCTCCCGACTTCCAACATTTTTGTACAGTCAGTGTGGTCAAGCGGTTAAGGAACCAGGTACGCCAAAGTGCACAGTGCTCCTGGCTGTCTGGGTTCGAATCCTTCTGGGGTGGGGAGTTTTCAATTTATATATATATATATATATATATATATATATATATATATATATATATATATATATATATATATATATATATATATATATATATATATATATATATATATATAATATAAAATATATAATATTTTATAATGTTGACCAATTCAGAAACTGAATTGGTCGTTCAAAAGCAGTGACAGATACTGAACTGTGATTTCGTTGGCATCGCTCACTACCTCTGAAGACTAATGACAAGTCAAGTAGAAGTGTGGTACATGAATGTGTTACAACAAAAAGGCTTAAACTGGCTCCATGTTAACATGAGGTTCGTGAGCCGCAGTCACTAGCACAAGCCTGGGACGCATATCTCCTTAAGACGCTACAAGTAGTAAGGAATGAAGCTGTAAATAGCCCGAGAATCGGTTTACCATAATTGAAGAGGACAGCGAAGTGTCCCAACTCGGTCCTCAGCCACCTCCATTGTTCACCCGACTAAAATATGTTAATTGATGAGAGCAGAGAAGTACCTGTTGGCGCTGCTCTCAGAGGCTAACCTAACCCGGCTACTCGACCCAGGTCTCCTGCCTCACCTTCCCTCGCCTTGGTGTGGGGGAGCTTACAGTGGGTCTCCTGCCTCACCTTCCCTCGCCTTGGTGTGGGGGAGCTTACAGTGGATCTCCTGCCTCACCTTCCCTCGCCTTGGTGTGGGGGAGCTTACAGTGGGTCTCCTGCCTCACCTTCCCTCGCCTTGGTGTGGGGGAGCTTACAGTGGGTCTCCTGCCTCACCTTCCCTCGCCTAGGTGAAGGTTTGTTTAGGTTGGCATGGGAGATCCTGTGGGGGGAGGAAGCATGGGTGGAGAAGACTGAACTAGTCTCCTGCATCAGTAGTGAGGCAGAAAATGAAGACTTGTCCTCGGTTGTTGAATATTTTTTCGGAGGTTGTTGAATATCTCTTCAGTTTTTTCAGGGAAAAAAACCAGTAGGTCTCCATCCTTCACCTACACTGGAACACACCTTCACCTACACTGGAACACACCTTCACCAACACTGGAACACACACCTTCACTTACACACACCTTCACCTACACTGGAACACACACCTTCACTTACACACACCTTCACCTACACTGGAACACACCTTCACCTACACTGGAACACACACCTTCACTTACACACACCTTCACTTACACACACCTTCACCTACACTGGAACACACCTTCACCTACACTGGAACACACCTTCACCTACACTGGAACACACACCTTCACTTACACACACCTTCACCTACACTGGAACACACCTTCACCTACACTGGAACACACACCTTCACTTACACTGGAACGCACCTTTACCAACACTGGAACACACACCTTCACCTACACTGGAACACACCTTCACCAACACTGGAACACACACCTTCACCTACATTGGAACACACCTTCACCTACACTGGAACACACACCTTCACCTACATTGGAACACACACCTTCACCTACATTGGAACGCACCTTCACCTACACTGGAACACACACCTTCACCTACACTGGAACACACACCTTCACCTACACTGGAACACACACCTTCACCTACACTGGAACACACACCTTCACCTACACTGGAACACACACCTTCACCTACACTGGAACACACACCTTCACCTACACTGGAACGCACACCTTCACCTACACTGGAACACACACCTTCACCTACACTGGAACACACCTTCACCAACACTGGAACACACACCTTCACCTACATTGGAACGCACCTTCACCTACATTGGAACACACACCTTCACCTACATTGGAACGCACCTTCACCTACACTGGAACACACACCTTCACCTACACTGGAACACACACCTTCACCTACACTGGAACACACACCTTCACCTACACTGGAACACACCTTCACCTACACTGGAACGCACCTTCACCTACACTGGAACACACCTACACCTACACTGGAACACACCTACACTGGAACACACCTACACTGGAACGCACCTTCGCACATTTTAAGCGTCCGTTGGACGTTCCAGCGTCGACTCATTTTCTCGAGCAGCGGCTGGACGCCCGGTACCCCGGTAATTACACATGTCCTCCCGCTGTACTTGTACTAATTACCCAAGTGGTGGCGTCGTCAGCTTCTAAACAATGGCTGACACTGTCCAGGTGCAGGCTGACGACCTTGCCTTCTCCTCGTGGACAATAGCGGCCCTCCCATCTCTCTCCCTGTGATCGTGTTCATGGGAGATTTATGCACTCGCGCGACGCTGGAAACACAGGCAGAGGCCCTTCAGGTAATGACTGGAAGCTCCCCCCCAACTAGGACAAGACCACATGTTTCGTCACAGAGGAAAGTGATGGTTGAGAGACGCTCGCACGGTCCTCCTAAACGCTCCTGCTTCGTCAGACACTGGAGGCTTCACCTACGTCAGACACTGGAGGCTTCTCCTACGTCAGACACTGGAGGCTTCTCCTACGTCAGACACTGGAGGCTTCTCCTACGTCAGACACTGGAGGCGTCTCCTACGTCAGACACTGGAGGCTTCTCCTACGTCAGACACTGGAGGCTTCTCCTACGTCAGACACTGGAGGCTTCTCCTACGTCAGACACTGGAGGCTCCTGCTACGTCAACTGTCGTTTTGTACCTCTCTGCCTTCCTCCTTGCTTGCCTGCTTTCCTCCCCGCTTCCCTGCCCTCCTCTCCCTCCCAGCCAGTCCCCGCCCCCACCAGCTGGAGTCCCTTCACTGAGGGAACACCCTGTAAGACACCTCAGTAATCTCCCCCATAACGCACTTCAATTACAACTCAAACAGATTTTCAAGGAAAACGCGCCGTGTCGGGAGAGGTCCTGCTCCTGCTGGAGCAGGACCTCTCCCGACCTACAGCGAAGTCAGAACCAGATGGTGAATCAGGTGCAGCTGGTGTGAGTCAGGTTCCTTATCCCCCGACCAGGAGATCTAGGGAATAGCGTCCTTCGTCGGTAAGAACAGCAATAGTCAACAGTTGGGAGACCTGGCCAAGCTTGGGCGTGGTCGCCAGATTTCCACCAATCGCCAGCGCTCGAGGGATGGCGCTACCATCGATCCCCGTAATGAACTAGTCAGCTAATTGCTGATAATTGGTGCGTAGGCGTCGCCCAATCTGTAATTATCACTTGGCTGGCGTAACACTGCGGCAGGAGACGAAGGAGCGTGAAATGGACAGCACTTTACCCTACAGGAGAGATGGGAGGAGGCTGGAAGGGGTGGCGCCCCTCTTCCCCTTCATAAACTCTTATGTAGTGACTATTATCTGAAGCGACTACATGGGCTTCACATAAGAGCCACTGCATGGTCGTCCTGCGTGGGAGGGGTCTGCATGGGAGGGGCTTGTTGGTCGGCCTGCATGGGAGGAGCTTGTTGGTCGACCTGCATGGGAGGGGGCTTGTTGGTTGACCTGCATGGGAGCGGCTTGTTGGTTGACCTGCATGGGAGGGGCTTGTTGGTTGACCTGCATAGGAGCGGCTTGTTGGTCGACCTGCGTGGGAGGGGGGCTTGTTGGTCGACCTGCATGGGAGGGGGCTCGTTGGTCGACCTGCATGGGAGGGGCTTGTTGGTCGACCTGCATG